GGTCGGATTGGGACAATGACTGTTTTACAGGATGTTGTTTTTTAGCTAAATTCCTCACCAACTAGTGTCAAGCTTGCATTAAATAAATTAGTAAAATAGGTTATTTTAGGGCCTTTTTTCAGAACTTTTGTAAATTGCCAGAATTTAGAACTTTTTATGAGAAGTATTTTGTCGATTACCAATCCGTATATCATTATCCTTGGTTGAGGCCCATGTTAATTCCCCCTCCCCCCCCCTGGCCAAGTGGTATAGACATTTTGACCAAGGCAATTCTGCATATACATTTCATGAAAATGTCATATATACGATCTATACTATTTGCAAGTTTGAGAAAAGAAAATGCTTAATTTCTCCAATTTAACAGTAATTAATAAAAATCTAATTGTTGCCAAGCCAAATCATCGAATTTCTAAACCGGTTAATGCAGTGGGGAGTGGGGGGGGGGTACGGTATAAATTGTGATGTTGACGCTGTAGAGTTACAGTAGTAGAGTAGAGTCTTTATCACAACTCAGCAGCACACAATACTATTATCATGCCTGGAGGAGGAAAAGAAGTCTCGTAAGTATAATTTTTAATCATAGCTTTATATGTATTGTATACAGGGTCGTAGCCGTAGCTGAGGGGGCAACTGGGCTCGTGCCCCTACACCTGTGATCCAAACAGGATAAAACTTGTTCAATATTTTTATTTTTCAAAGATAATGCATGGATTTAATAATTTATTTAGGTTTAATAGGACAAGGTTTCTTAACGTTTTTTTTTGCAGTGTGTTAGAAACTTTAAGTTAGGTGACTGAATTTGATAATTTATTTACAATAGTTTTGTACATTTCTCAGCTATGAACTTTCTAAGCCCTAAATATCATCAAAGCTTACTATAAACACTAACAAAACTGAGGTTTTAGAAATATAACGAAAGAGGCTGTGAACAAACAGCCAAGACTGTTGAATCGTTCCAAATAGCCGTTATACAAAAATTAACTGTTTAAAAAACGAAACTGATAAATTTCTGCTTATATTGCATAAAACTTGCAGAAAAAAAATGATTTTGTACTTAGATGTTCTTCGTCGACTTTTTTACAGAATCTAACGCCTGTGTTTAGTACATGTTCTGATGTTTTTGAATGTTTCCTTTAAATTTTAGCTATTTTTGCGGCTGGCACCGTTAATGATTTATAAAATATCTGTTATTAACGCCGTTAATAATATTGATCATTAACGAATATTGATCATTAACGAATGGTATCTTAAAAATGAATTATTGCTGTTAACGACTAACTTATTTTTTTTAACTCTCTTTTAACGATTTGCTAAAAAAGTTGGAACGTGCCCAGCCCGTAGTTAGAAGTGAGAGGTCTAATAGATTTTGTTTATTTAGAAACCAAGGAGTGAACTCCCAAGGAAACCATTACACCAGTTATAATGATGGTGGATACAGGTAGAAACTAAAAGGAGCTCTAGACCTAAAATCTAATGACCAATCCATTTATAGAAGGGCATATCTGATTCACAATGATACCTTTAGAAGCGTAGTTGTTCATGTGACGGTGTATGTCATGGAAGATCGCATTTAGATTTTAGACAGTATACACAATTTCTCCGTATTTAAGACATTAGTAAGTGGAGACGTCATATGTTTGTAAAAAGTATGGATGGTAAGATGCCGGCTCTGAAACTTTTCTAAAATATTTAATAAATATTTGCAGGTATTCTAACAAGGGTGGAGATGGTTCCAAAACTACTAGCACACACTTTGATACAGGAAAGGGACATTCCTTCTATGATAACAAAGGTAAATTTCAAGAATTTAAATTTGTGACCCCCCCCCCCCTCCTTAATTGGTGTTTTTTTTAAAGATTATTTCTCAAGTCAATACACTTGCTTAAAGAAAAAGCCTTCAAGTTTTAGTAAGCTATGCTACCTCAAGGGTACCCATTGGTTTCCTTTAAAAATTTCGGCAAATTCTGGATAGCCGCTTGGCCAGCATAGCCAACATACAAATGCAAATTGTTTAAAAAAATCTACCTCCCTTAGTGTATAGATGTGCGATGTAGGCTAACTCCTCCACATTCCCTTACAATCCACTGAGATATCTACATCATGTAACTCTGTTCAGAATAGAAATTATGTTAAGATTTGAGTAAGGCTAGACACCTCGAATGAACTTTTCTTGCACAAATAGTTGAAATTTATTTTTACGACAAGGCAAAAAGCATGGGAAAGGATGAAAATTCCTGTAAATAGTATTATTCGTTTGGGAATGTTAAATGTTTTTTTTTAACTTTGCAATGTCTTTGTCTTAAAAAATTTAAACAATCTAAAAAAACATTTGTTACAACATGTTCGAGCGTTATGTCCGAGAAAAGTGTTCCCATGTTTTTTGTTTTTTTAGTTGGAAGCAGGGAATCAGGAGGACAACCCTACAAGGTTCACACTAATCAGAACACGGTAATTTTATGTTGATATCATCCTTGCGATTTTTAGATTGTAGCAGAAATAATCTAGAAAAAGTAATCTTTTTAAAATAACATTGTTACGATATCCTTAATTAATCCTTAAGCTGCTACTCGAAAGGTCAATTCAAGTCAATTCAATCCATTCCTATAATTGTCGGAACAGGCTGTATATGTATAGCAAAGCTCTTTGATGTAACTTTCAAGTAGGGTGTTCCGCGAACAAAAACTTTCGTACTTCGAGAAATTAAGCCAATAAATGCGAAAACGCAGCGAATTTCGCGAAAAAACTTGTTGAATTCTTTGCTCTGAGAGCTCAGCCTTAGAAGTTTTATTGTATCATAATAAAGTATTTCTCTTCCCTACTTCTCTTTTTTTTCGCAAACAGAATAAAGCAAAATTTAGCGAAAAAGCAAAAATTTCGCATTTTTTGCAAGCGAACGACAAAAAAGTGCGAAATTTTTGCGCACGATTTTCCCTTTTCGCTGGAAACTCTACTTTAAAGTGATCCTTAATTAGACTGCCATGCCCGATTCATATCTGAACCCTTGAAAGCTTTGACTGATTAAATGTATGCATTAGATATTCGTGTTAAAAGTTTTGGATCTCTGCATTGAGGGTCACTTACTAAGCTTTTATGCCTTTTCTCATTGTTAGTTTTGCAATTACAAAATCTCATATTTTAGGGCAAATCCAACTACTACTAGCTGGAGATCTAGAATGGAGTTTTCCAGGAGATGATTAAGATTATATTTGTGTAATGAGCATCTTTACCCAATAATAAATCTTATGTAAACTAATTGTTTTTACCCTTTCCCTAGTCGTAATACTGGCATATAGCCATTAAATTGACTAGTTACCAATGGTGGTTAAAATAAATAATCCCACCCCTGAGTTGCATAAAATACAGTGATGCAATAAAATTATCTGAGTGTTCCAGATTTCCACAAAAAAATTCGATATTGCATTTTCTTGTCAAAAAGTGCAAATTTTTGGTTCTCTGAACTGTTTCAAAAGTAAGCTACAGGGTGTCCCAATAAACATGGGAATTTAGTGACTAATTCGATATCGTCTTTTAAAATAATTCTTAGATTCAGTTTAGTGATACCTACAGAGAAAGCTGCGATCCGTAAGATTTTCGTTTGCTATGCTTACAATTTGTTGTATGTTTTGACTGCATATGGTTGTATTTAGTAAAACAAGAAAATTGCAGTATACAAACAGAGTAATCTTGGCCGTCGTCACTGTTCATCTTGTGGAGACATTATAGAGACATCTCTAAAAGACATAATAATAATTAAATTTCTTGGAGTATATTTAGACCAACACCTCAACTTTAAATATCACATTAATCAAATAAATTCCAGAATTTCTAAATCTTATTTTTCAATTCGTCGGGTTAAAAATGTATTGACACCAGTTGTCTTAATCTCTTTATTATTCATTAATTCATTCTCATATTGTTTATGCGATTCAAATATACTCATGTGCGCCAAGAAGTATTTTTAAACCTTTGATACTTAATCAAAAAGCCACAGTCCTTTGCATTACAAACTCTAGGTATAATGCGCATACGGGGCCCTTGTTTAAGAAGCTTGGAATCTTACCCTTCGAAAAATTAGTTCAGTTTTTTCAACTTAAATTTATGCATCAGATTAATCAGATTCGTAATAATTTGGCTCCAAGATCCTTCCAAAACACTTGGACTCTTAACCTCAACAGGGACATTTTATTGAGAAATGAAAATGACTTTCAAGTTCCACCATTCAGAATAAATATTGTAAAACAATTTCCTCAGTGTAATTTTCCAATTGTTTGGAATGAGTTTGAAAATCCCTTAATTAAAGAAGTATTGAATCCAATGGCTTTTAGTCGTGAACTTAAGCAATTCCTCCTTGAAGATTTACCTGATTCTGTTCGATGTGAAAGGTTGTTTTGTCCAGTTTGTAGTTTGTAGACATTTTAAATTCAGTGTATTCTTCCCGATCAAGCAATTTCATTCATTACGCACATCGGTCTGCTAACTGCTTTTTATCAGCTATTTAAACTTTTACTTTCTAATTGCGTCAAACAGGTTGACCGGGCTAATTAATTACTTTCTACATTTAAAATATTCAGAAATAATTGTCGGACCGCTAATAATCGAGACTCACAGCACATCAGTTCGCCACCTTGTACATTCCATTCATGTTATGAAAAATATATTAATTACCAATGGATTATTTTCTTGTTAATGTATAATTAGTTTTAAAGACTGTATTATGAGATCTACGTTGTAAACCGCAATCCTGCGAATTGTATATCTCCTGCCACTTTAATATGTTAACATGTTATTGTGCAATAAATATTACTTACTTAATATGGCTTTTGAAATCAGGTATTACAATGCTAATTCATAACAAAGCAATATTAATCCTGGTGAATCTGGGGGAGTTGATCCATTATCTTCTATTGAGGAGTGGCGATCTGATTACAACATCGATCGACGACTGCTTCCTCTTCTACTGGGTTCCATTTTAAATTAGTTTTTTTCATGGTTGAAAACCTTTAAATCTTTAAAACAGGGTTCAGAATACAGAGTAGAGGAAGAGTAGGGTTCAGAATACAGAGTAGAGGAGGAGTAGGGTTCAGAATATAGAGTAGAGGAGGAGCAGGGCTCAGGATACAGAGTAGAGTAGGAGTAGGGTTCAGGATACAGAGTAGAGGGAGAGCAGGGTTCAGAATACATAGTAGAGTAGGATTAGGGTTCAGGATACAGAGTAGAGGGAGAGCAGGGTTCAGAATACAGAGTAGAGGAGGAGCAGGGCTCAGGATACAGAGTAGAGGGAGAGCAGGGTTCAGAATACAGAGTAGAGGAGGAGTAGGGTTCAGGATACAGAGTAGAGGAGGAGAAGGGTTCAGGGTACAGAGTAGAGTAGGAATAGGGTTCAGGATACAGAGTAGAGGGAGAGCAGGGTTCAGAATACAGAGTAGAGGAGGAGTATGGTTCAGGATACAGAGTAGAGGAGGAGTATGGTTCAGGATACTGAGTAGAGTAGGAGTAGGGTTCAGGATACAGAGTAGAGTAGGAGCAGGGTTCAGGATCCGAAGTAGAGGAATAGCAAGGTTCAGGATACACAGTAGAGGAAGAGCAGGGTTCAGGATACAGAGTAGAGGAGAAACAGGGCTCAGGATACAGAGTAGAGGAGGAGTAGGGTTCAGAATACAGAGTAGAGGAGGAGTAGGGTTCAGGATACAGAGTAGAGGGAGAGCAGGGTTCAGGATACAGAGTAGAGGAAGAGCAGGGTTCAGGATACAGAGTAGAGGAAGAGCAGGGTTCAGGATACATAGTAGAGGAGTGTATGTAAAACATGATAAATGATATTCATAGAAATGTTCTTTACTCTAAACATTAAATAAATATTAAACATTAAATAAATATAAGATAGAAATATATAAATATTTCTATTTGTACACTGCAAAGTTATACTATGCAAATAAATAAATTTTAAACTTTATTATATTAACAATTGTTTCTCATGCTACAAACTCAAATTTTGTAACCTCTTTTTCTTTGAAACCCAATTTAGCAGACCTTAGAATATTTTAAACTATGAATTCAATTAGATAAAATAATTTAAGTATGAACTATCAAAGGTAACATCAGGCCAGTTGCAAAGATATATAGATTAGAAAATTTGAGTTTGTGACAAAGATTCAATTCCTTTACATGTTAAATGAATAAATAATATTACTTTTTTTTTAAATCAAAATATTTATTCTAATCTGTTTTAGTTGTACATGAGATTTTTGTATTTAATTACATATTACAAAATTACATTTTTTTATATGCATAATGTTAACATATTACAGATTACATATTTTATTGCTTTTAAGAATTCATTTATAAACAAAATGCAAATCCATCTATATTTTGTTTGTTATTACTACGATACTAGGGTAGAAATAATTACATCCTTTCTAGTTTCTCTTAACGTAGTAAACAGTTTAACTAGCTTTTCTTCAAAACAGCTTATTATCCAGTGTACACATAAGTTTTACAATCTGGGAGTTTTCTGTGTAGTGTTGCATCTTTTGACTATACTTTTCGATTATTAAGATACATGTATTAGCATAATTAACATTTTCGTAAAGTAAAAGTAGATTTTGAAATAAGGTTAGTGAAATAAAGTTAGGCTGTTAAGGTTAGATACAGGGTGTCCCACGAAACATGACAGTATGCAGGACGACTTGAATGTCGTCTTGATTTTTGATATAATTTGCTGCGTTTATTTGTCAACCTAATTTTAGAAGTAAATTTCTAGAGATAATAATCACAAAATTTCCCTTGTCCTGCCATTTCCAAAATGTGGGCTGCCTTTTTTGTGCTTTCAATATTGCCCGAGATATGAAGAATTTCGTTCAGATTTCGACAATTTTGCTTTTATTTAACAAAATTGAAATCTGAACCAAACTCTTTATATCTCCGGTAATATTGAAAGCACAAAAAACGCAGACCACTTTTTGGAAATGCCAGGGCTAGGAGAATTATGTGATAATTGTTTCAAGAATCATACATGTTAAAGTAGATAGAAGACTAAATGTCACAAATAAATTCAAATACCAAAGACGAATTTCAAGTCGTCTTCCAATTGTCATGTTTCGTGGGACACCCTGTATATAGGCTGTGTTGGTAATTTCGGATATTTTGATTGTTCGCGTGGAATTCTTCTTTCATATTATCATTTACATTGTAATTGTGGTACTTGTGGAAGATAAAAAAGGAGTTGAGATGGTGGTGTTTGATACTCCGATACTAAGATGGAAATGCTACTTCCATCCTTTCTCGTTTCTCTTAAAATGTTACAAATATTGACGGGATCTTTTTTGATGCTGTTCGGTATCCTTTGCTGGAACTGATTCCACAATCGTATTCTTGCCCGAAATTAGCCTCAAAAGGAGCAGGTCACTTGTCGGGTCGATGCTTCAGGTTTAAACTAGAGTACACAGAAAAGATAAATTTTTTAGAATTTAGAAAAACAAATTTCTCGGTAAACATTCATTCATAAAGGAAACACAGACTCGGAGAAAAAGTCTTTTTGAAATAAAAAAACATTTTGGTTAATTTCTCATTAAAATAGGATACATAGATTCGGAGTAGAAGTTTTTACATTGACCGAGTCTGCCCCGAGATTAGCCTCATAATTAGCAGGCCACTTGTCGAGTCAATATTATAGATCCAATTTCCAGAAAAACAAGTTTTTTAGAATTTAAGAAAAAATATTTTGGTAAACTAATATAGGATAAATAAGGGGCAGGTCATTTGTAGAGTCAATATTTCAGATTTAAACCAGAGTACACAGAAAAATAAGCTCTCTTTGAATTAAAAAAGAAAATATTTTGGTAAATTCTCATTTATATAGGATACATTTACTCGGAGTAAAAGTTTTTACATTGACAGAGTCTTGAATGATTAAAATTTATTGGGAAAGAAAGTTAAAATAAATGATATTACTTATATTACATGTACATCACAAAAATTTTATTTTCTAAAAATCTTTAATCTATTTTTTATGTAAGAATACAATCTAGAATATAACAGTTTAAACAAAACTGAATAAGTTCATTTATATTTGTTGACGAGGGACACAATATCACGATGTCTTATATAATTTTTTTATAATTATTCTCCGACAAAATCCCCGCTATCAGAGAAAAGGCGAATCTCCGACACACGCGTAGATACAAAGGTACCCGCCAAAAAAAGTCCTTGGAAAAAAAGTTTCCGGATAAAAAGTCCTAAAATTTCACACTAAAAAAGTCTTGTAAAAAAGTCCTTTTATTAAAAAGTCTCCGGAAATAAAGTTCTACCAATTAAAGACTTTATTTTCTAGGATTTTTTTTCTGTCCTCGGAAAAAAAGTCCTCTAACTAGTGAAAATGCATGATTCAAAGTGGAAAAAAGTCCTGGTTGTAAACATCCTGTCAATAATCGTAGGTTTTCAGGGGCTTGACATTTAAACATCCCTGGCTATATATATATATATTCATTAGCATTTTCTTTTTCATATTACTTAAGAATATAAAACTATCCCTGTATATGATGTACATAGTACACTTGTACGTGGGATTTTATACACAACTTTTCTTAGAACTTTTTTTCGCAGACTTAAATTACTGAGTTCAAATTTCCCGAGACTTTACTTTTTTTCTAGGTTTTTCTTTTCCTCGGATTTATTTTCTTTTTTCCTGAGACTTTATTGGCAGCACCCAAAAAAAGTCCCAGGAATCCAAAACACAGGACTTTATTTCCAGTGATATTTTTTCCAAGGACTTGAGAAAATTCTGACATTTTTCCAAAGTTTTTATTTCCAGGTTTTTTTTCAAGAAACTTTTTTCCCGGGACTTTCTTACATAGATTCAGATACAAAATATTCGAAGTCAATGTCCTACAAAATCTTATCTGTTAGAAACAAGGTGGAGCTTCAATGGCGTAGCTATAAAATATCCGATGGAGCTTCTTCTCCAAATCTTCGCCATAGTAGGGCGAACATCAAATATTTGTTTGGTTATATAATATTTAGTCCTTCAATAGGGACTACACAGTGGGGTACAAAGGGGGTTAGACTTTAAATAAAAACTCTTACATTTTTCCTTGATCTTGCCCCCCTGGCTAAAATATTGTGTACAAACCTCTTTATGTACAGGGTGTCCCAAAAAACATGGGAATTCAGTGACGAATTCGATATCGTCTTTATGAATAATTCTTTGATTTAGTATAGTGATACCTACTGAGAAAGCTGTAATCTGTAAGAGTTTCGTCTGCTATGTTTACATTTTGCTTGTTTATGTTTTGACTTCAACCGGTTGTACTTAGTAAAACAAGAAAATTACAGAATACAAACAAAGTAAACTTGTCCGTCTTCACTGTTCATCTTGCGGAGACATTATAGACACATCTTTTCAGTCTTTTACCCTTTTCATTAAATAATCTCTAGCAGACATAATAATATTATGGCTTTTGAAATTAGGTATACAATGTTAATTCAGAACAAAGACGATATCGAATTCGTCACTGAATTCCCATGTTTTTTGGGACACCCTGTACCATGAGGTTGTTCTTGAATAGTGTTTTAACGCATCTTTTTATTTGGGTTTTCCGATAGTAAAAGATAATCTGCCATCAAAAGATGTTTAGCAAGCATTTATAAGAGAACCTGATATGTCTTAAATCTTGATTACTCATTGGCTTATATGATAGAGAATATAGATCTCATTTTTACAATATTGCCCATAATAAATTGCAATTATGCATACCACAAAAAAGTTTGGAACAGAGCCATCCATTATGATGCAAAACTAATTGCACTCATTTTTTGGCGTTTATTTTTCCTTGAATTTTTCTTTTAGGGGAATTTGCGAATTTTTATTCGGCGTATTTCCTTGCGCAACATAATTTGCACGCAATTGTGGCGGAAAAAAATGATTATGCATAACAAAAACTGTTAAGGGGGTTAAACATTGCCACATTACTAGAGAGGGGGGTGGGACTAAGCCCTGATAGCCCTACATGCGCCCATGACTACTTCATGAGTTTCTGTGTTGTTAAGGCATGGTTTTTATATAAAGATTAGGACTGGGCAAAGTTCCGTTAACGGAGCACAGGTTTTCCAATATTAATGGAAAAGTCCGTCAAAGAAACGGATTAACCGTTTAAAAAACAAAAAATAACTGTTGAAAACGAAAAAGAAAGGACTTTTTTCATACGGTTAATTTCATTTTTTTCTGCTTAAAATAATATTTTTACGCGTTTTATGTTTTTAAATGTCATCTTCTGTGTTCACATCCTTAAATGCTGAGAATAGATCAGCGATAACCTTTGAATTTTGATAAAAAATTAAGGAGTTTGTCCAGCCGTGAAAGAATCTGGATTCTCCTCAGAATAGGCTAAATATGCTTATACTCAATCCGCAGAAAACGATAAATATAATTCAACTTGTAGTGCCTTTAACGATTTGACAAACCGTTAACGCCTACAAAAGACCGTTAACAGCTGCACTATAAACAATTTCTTTAACAGTTAAAGATTTTTTTGGTGCTTTGCGCCGTTAATAATGTAATGTTAATGGCTTGAACCGTTAACAATTGTCGAAAAGTTTCTGTTAACGTTGTTAATAAAATTGAGATCGTTAATTGTAATTTTTAAAAAATGCTAAATGCCGTTAACAAAACAAATTTTTAGTTCTTAATTAACGGCTACCTTAATTAATTATAGTTCTTACCTTTAAACGGCTACCTGAAATTTCTCTTTTTTAACAGTTGGAACTAAACGTTAACAAATAGACTAGAAAAAAGTTGTAACTTGTCCAGCCCTAGTCAAGATTGCATAAAATAAATAAGAAAAATAAGGTTTTGTCAAATTCATCCAACTTTTGAAATTGTTAAAAAAGAGAATAAATAAAGTTTTAACAGTTTTCCAAAGACTTTCATTTTTGGGGTTTTTTTCTCAAGAACTTTTTAAAATTTACAGAATTTAGAACTTTTTATGAGAAGTATTTTGTCGATTACCAATCCGTATTCATCGAATTCATCCTTATAGTTTGAGACCCATGATGTTCACCCTCCGCCCCCCCCTGACCAATGGTATAGACATTTTGCCCATAGACATTTCCATGAGAAATATCACATTCTACACTCTGTAATATTTGAAATAAGAAAATGCTTAATTTCTCCTATGTTAGCATCATTAATAAAAATATAATTGTTGCAACATCTCCGAATTTCTAAACCGGTTAATGCGGGGGGGGGGTGTATAAATAGTATAAATAGTGATGTCAACGCAATTTCATCGAGTACTGCAGTATTATTCACAACTCTCCTTTAAATCAATTTGCCATGCCTGGAGGAGGAAGAGAAGTTTCGTAAGTTGCATTCATGATTAGATCTTTTCGTTTAAGTTTATTTTGATTATATTTTCCCCTACAACCTCTTTCTAGGAAATCTTAATATAATCCTGATGATTCGTGTAATTGAAAGGTAGGAGACTACCATAATGTTTGAGAATTGTATTTAATAGATTCACGATTCAATATT